AATAAAGATAAGCTTGTGGCAGCTGGGGGCAACAGAGGTTCTCACATCTACTCTGGATTCTAGCCTCACTCAGATCCCTACAAAAGGGGATGTGGGTGCCCCAGCCCCAGCTTCCAGCTGTACTCCCTCAGGATGGCCTTCCACGTAGGCAGAAGAGCTGGATTTTGCTCTTTGTCAGAAGGCACAGCCACCTCTGACAAACCAAAGCATGTCCCCAAATATCAGCTCCCCCTACCCCCAACTAGAGCTACAAGCCACATGCCAGACATGTGTCAGAAGGGGCTCTGGGGTGGGCAGCACCCACTGCAGCAATATAGTACAGCCTGAAGAGACCAGGGGGGCTCAGCAAGTAACCTCGGCCCCTGTAAGCTTCTTCCTTCAGTGGGCAGGGATGGGGTGCAATAGAGGGCTGAGGCCATGGCTCATGGGCCTACAGGTGAAGCTGTGGAAGACTCAGCTCTCAGCAGGCATCCTTGGTACCTCTCCAGAGTCCCCATCACCTGCCCACTCCTGCTTCTGGGATGAGGATAACTGACTTCCTTCCAGGAAATTCTGGAGTCCCTATTGAAATTTCAGACCTGGGTTTCAGAGTTTGACTTCTGTACTGAACCCTTTGCCTCCCAACCCATGAGTTTGTCTCTAGTGATATTTTCACATTTAAATCTGTTGAATTTAAGGGTAACATTTTGAAAAATGTGTAACAAGTTGGGGAAGAATGGGTTGTAGACAGCCTGATTCAAGTGAGGAAATCCATTTTCTTATTCAACAAACGCTGAGTAAAAAATTAGGCAGGGGGGTGCTAGGCTGGGCCCTGGAGACACATATAGTTCCACCCCATCCCCAAAGATGCTCCTGGCCAATGAGGATCCTACAGTTAACAGTACATCACAGAGCAGAGCAAGACCTGCGTGGACACTCAGAGGGACCCAAGGCTAATTACTTCTTTAGTCAATGGTAAAGGAATACTGAGCTAATTACTAGTCAAGCAAATCATTAGATAAGAGTCACAGCTAGGGAAGTTTAAACAATGCTCAAAGTGCTGTGCCCTGAAGGCCAGGTGGCCCACCCCATCTCTGGTACCTAGTCACAGCCTCCCAGTGTATCAGCCAGGGTACCCCCTACAGCCCTTTCTCTGGAGTAGGTAATGAATTCAATCCAAGACTTAACAAAAGCCTGGAGAAGGCATGGGGTGGCTGCACACACTGGCTTCCAGGCTGTCACCAAGCATTCCCACGGCTCTCCAGGGTCCAGGAGAACTCTCCAAGCCATCTGCTTTAAACCTTCTTCCCACAGATGTAGGGCTGGACACCAATACCTTTGAAGAGGAGGAGCTGCTGCCAAGCCCTCACCGCAGTCACTTCTGTTTGAAAGGGTGGTCTGGGCTCGGCGGTCTCCTCCTCCTGGGCCTGCTGCAAAAAGCAACAGATCTCCCAAGTTGTGGGACTCTCCCAGAGTCCCCCTGGGCCATCCATCCCACACTGTGCATTCAAGCCCCATCCGATTCCACTTCACTCTTGATTTTACTTGTTGAATGCTTAGAAAGCATCCTTGTTTTTTCACATCTGGTCACCCAGATGGGGACAGTCTCGTTCCCCAGGATGTCCCTTTACAACCCAAAGGCTGAAGTGGGAAAATATGGCTTCACGTCCTCCACACTGCTAATCCTCTACCGCGAACAGGTACACGTTGAAAGCCAGCCACCGCCGCTAAGAAAAGCAACCCTCTCTAAGCCAATCCATTTTTTTTCCGCGTGTGACAGACGGCTTTCTTTAAAAAGTGCGACATGTACAAGTTCACCAGCAAAAGCAACAAGGAGGGGTCTAAACACACGGTCCTAACATGACCTCGGGAAGGTTAACCCTCCAGCAGAGCGGCCCCTCGGCGGGGCGGGAGCCTCCCAGAGCCGGGACTGCAGGTAGCTGCCAAGCAGCAGCCCCCCTCCGTCCCCCTGACCCCCGCAAGGCCGCAGAGAAGTTGCGGCCGCCTTCTTACCTGGAGGTCAGTGGGTTCGGGACTCCTCGGGAAGGGAATCCCGGCTGCTCGGACACCCGCTGGAATAGGGCGACAGAGAGCAGGGACTGGATGGGACCAGGCTGGGGGTGGGTGGTGGCACCCAGAGGAGGAAGGCTCGCCGCGGGGCGCGGCGCTGGGGCTGGAGAAGGCCGGGGGCAGGGAGGCGGGGTGAGGCT